CGGAGGGAAGAGTGCGATCCCCGGCCCTCGGTGTCCTATTCGGTTCACTACGCTCAGTCACGGTCTCGTCCTCCCGGCGGCGGCCTCGGAGCTCCTCGGGGCTTCCTAAGGGCCGTCCAGCGCATTGTGCGCCGGAAGGTAAACGCAGTCCCCCGTGGATTCCCCCCCGGCTGCCCCGAGGGCATGTGGAAGGAAGGCATCACCACATATTCACTGTCCACCTGAGCTGCCCTCCTTTTGGAATTTTGTTCAGAAAATTAGAAAAACAATAAGAGATCACGCTTACAATTCCGTCACTTCTTTAACCCTGCTTCGACAGCACTCAACACCATTACACCCAACAGTTATCACTGAGCACGTTTGAGGGCCCACGACGTGGTTGGGAGTCCTCCAGGCAACTTTTGGATTACCTTAAATGTTTGTAATTTGTAAGCCTGCTAAGGGTTACAGATATATTTACATAAGATTAGTTATCGAGGCTTGCCAGCACTGTTCTAGGTGCTTCACAAATATAACCTTATTTTCCGCTAACTATTCTGTGAGGTAGGTATTTTTTTTTCTTTTTAGAGGCGAGAACTGACGCTCAGGTTAATTCACTTGCTCTAGGCCACATAGCTAGTAAGTAGTGGATCCAAATGGGAACCCAGGCTCCAACGGTAACCTGTCTTTAGAAAACGGTTGTAAAGATGGGTAGGGAATTCCCTTCATAAAATGTGACTTTGGACTTCTCTATTTAAGAAACACCTACTCTGCGAATAGGACAGAGCCCTATGATGAGAAGAGCATGCTTTAAAAAAAAAAGTTTCCATTGATTTCAGAAAGAGGAAGGGAGAAGGGGAGAGAGATAGGAAACGTCAATAATGAGAATCATTGATCTTGATCGGCTGCCTCCTGCCCGCCCCCTACTGGGGGTCAGCCTGAAACTCATGCCTGTGTCCTGACTGGGAATCGAAGGGTGACCTCTTGGTCCAACCACTGAGCCACACCTGCCGGGCAAGAGCATGATTTTTAGTATCCCATCATGTGCCAGCACATTCTGAACTTGAACTCTTTCTGGACAAGCCAGTTTACTAGTAAAATATTAAATATCAATTATTATTCATAAGTACAATGCCTTGATATTTTGCTTTTCTGACAAATCATATTTTATTTGTAACTACCTCATAGAGAAATATATAGGGTAGTGGTGAACAATTTAGCCAATCACAAAGGAAAAAACACATTCGAAGAACTGTTACCAAGACACTGGGAGGTGGATGACTTCTTGTCCAGGGTTCCCAGCTGTGTTTGTACACGTAAGACTTGAAAACAGGAACAAGACGAGGTTGCCGCTTTCCTTTCAGGTGGATCCCGGAAACTGAAAGCCACTTTGAACCCTGCCTTTTTGTTCACTAAATCCTGTGTTCCAAACCCTAAATCTTGGACAGGTTACCTTCTCAGGCGGCTGCTTTCTTGCTTGCTACCTGGGACCAGTGGCCTACTCCCCAATTTCATCAAGCTTTTCAGATTTTTGAAACAGGAATTCAAGATACTAAAACTTTGTTGATGGTGTTTTGGATTGGGGCTTTCCACAAGTGGTGATACTGAAGAAATCATCCGTAGGAAACTACCTTCAACAGACCCTAACTAGATCTCAGCTCCACAGTTCGTAAATGTGGTGAGGTGTGTTAAAGAACAGAAGCTCAACCCCGGTAAATTTGAAGATCTAATTGGCTTTATTTTTTTTTTAAATATATTTTATTGATTTTTTACAGAGAGGAAGGGAGAGAGATAGAGAGTTAGAAACATCGATGAGAGAGAAACATCGATCAGCTGCCTCCTGCACACTCCCCACTGGGGATGTGCCCGCAACCCAGGTACATGCCCTTGACCGGAATCGAACCCGGGACCTCTCAGTCCACAGGCCGACGCTCTATCCACTGAAAATTGGCTTTATTAAATGATTCATGAATTGGCAACTCATCTAGTAAATAGAAGGGAGCCCCAAGTAGTTGTACAAAACGGAAGGTTTTTATAGGCAGGAGGGTGGGACAACGAGGTTAAAAGAATGGGTTGTTTCAGACTAGGTCACCTTCCTTTGCGAGAAGGCAGAGGGATCTTTTCAGGCAGCTTACCTCACCAGTGATCAGGAAATTGCTGATTGATTTAAAATTCCAGTCGTGGGAGAGAATGAAACTGCATATTGAGTCTTGGTGAAGCTTACCACAGTGACTCCATTTTGGGTCTATTTTTTTTTAACAGGTGCTTCTGGCTTCTGTTAAGCTGGCTGCCTCTTCTGTCTCTCCGCAGAAGACAGTGAATGGAGAATTCTCCCTAAGGTCAGCGTTTCATTAATTGCCTCGCTCTGGCTGCAACAGTATCCCAGGCATCGATCCAATCCTACTATCAAAATTTCCCGGAGATTGCCAGCAGGTCGGACCTCGGTCTTCCAGGGACTGCCCCGAGTCGCTGAGTGGAGTGGGACGCGCCTTGAGCAGTTTACTATCTCTGTGGGCGGTGGCCCAAGGCGCGGGACCTATCCGAGGACCGGATTGGGCCTTGCCCCTGTCCATCATCCGACGGCTCTGGGCGCCGACTGTTTTGCCGTAAGATTTGGAAGTTGAGCACCGCCTCTGGAAACGAGGGGCGTGAAGATTGGCGAAGGTAAACGTTGTGTGTATTTTTCTCTTCATTGGATGGCTACTGTGTCAGTCATACTCTCCGCTGCTCCCGTTGGCGGGAAGGCTCCGGGCTGGTAGCGTGGACACAGTGCTGCCCCGCCCAAGTTGCGATCCGGGCGCGTGACGTCTCAGATATTTGTTGTTGGGGTTTGGGCCTCATTAATTATTCATTAACCCTTGAAAGGGCTGCAGCGATTGGTGGCTGGGAAGCCTGGTCAACTGTTTCTTAGCTAGAGATAGGTGTCGCCCTCTACGCGGCCGAAAAAGTTTCGCATAAATTATTCCGATGAGGTGTGGGGCGGGACTACGCATAGATTAGGCAAATGAGCAGGGGAGGGACGCGAGGCCGGGTACGAATTAGCCTAAGTTATTAAAGATGGCGGCGGAGCGGAGTCGCTCCCCGATGGACTCGCCGGTCCCGGCCTCTATGTTCGCCCCCGAGCCCAGCTCCCCGGGGGCGGCCAGGGACGCGGCGGCTGCCGCCCGGCTCCACGACGGCTTCGACTCGGACTGCAGCGAGGACGGCGAGGCGCTCAATGGCGAGCCGGAGCTGGACCTCACCAACAAGGTAGGCCCCGGCGCCGGCATCGGCGCTAAATGGGACCAGATGCCCCGGGGACCCGTCGGTGGGCCGAGCCGTTTCCCGGGCGACAGCGGGGGCGGGGGCGGGGGCGGGAGGGGCCGAGCCCGCCCACCTGCCGGTGGGGACAGCGCCGGGGGTTCCCGGGCCATGGGTGGCCCCGTGCGGCCCCCCACCGCCGTCCTTCTCCCGGCGGCTCCGACCCGGCTTCCCGCCGCCCGGCTCCCGGGGAGATCACAACCCCTCGGCTCCGCCACGTGGAACTCGGGTGCCCGACACCGGCAGCGCCCCGCGCGGTGCCACCTCCTCCGATACCGAGGGAGGCCCGCTGCACTGTCCGTGGCAGCGAGGGTCGGCGGTGGCTTGGGAGCGGGAGTGGAGGCGCGGGAGGATCTGGTCGTCCGAAGCGAAGCGGGAGGCGGCTCTTCCTGGTGTCGGGAAAGGAAACAGAAAGTAGTCGCTCAGTCGGGGAGAAGGATGTCCGAGCTGTGTCCACTTTGTCAATCCACCCAAAACAAAATTGAAAGAGGGACTTGACCCATCATCTCGCCTTCCTGGGAGTGGAACACAACCTGTATGAATGCAGTAACGAAGGACGTTTCAAATTGTGTCCTCTGAGCTCCCGAGAAGGTGTGCAGGAGTTAAGGTCTGACCACCTGCTTGGCATTGTGGGGGATGAAAATTAAGTATAAGATGTGACTGTTTTGCAGGTGCTAAATGGAAAGAATGCTAACTTGGGAGCCAGACAGGGTTGGGTTCTGGTAAAAAAGAAAAGAAAGAAACAGACCCGAGGTGGGATCACTTGCTCCCTTGAGGGTAAAACAAGACTTAATTGCAGTTTCAGCCCCTCCCAGGTGTGGAATATTGGACTGTAATTTCCTCGTGGACACTAGACAGGTTACCTGCATAAGAGCCCCTGTCACGCTTCCCCACCAACACTGGTCAACTGGCCTGAAATAATATTTTCTTTTGCTAATAACTTTTTATATACATATCGTTGTATGCACCCCAGGCATGAGTGGCTCTGGCCACCAACACAGGCTTCGACTAGGATGAACTAACTTTGGCCCTGACTGATAGAAGAGCAACACCCACCATAATGTGTCTCCTTGCCCATGGCCAGGGGGTGCTAATAACTTTCTTATCTGGCCCAGTTTCCTATAAGAATCTTGCACTTTATACTACTCAGCGCAGGTCTCTTATTTACGAGGTGGGATGCTGCACAATTCATGAATCACTAATAAAGCCAATTAGATCTTTAAACTTATTTGGTTGAATTTTGTTTTTTTAACAGATTCTTTTCCTGTCCTGCCACTTACAAAGGCTCTGTGACCTTGGGAAAGTTTGGCTTCTCAGTTCTTCAGCTACGTGATTTTTTTTAAGCACAGATGGTTGTAAAAATGAGAGATGCCTATAAGACCCCTAGTATGGTGCCTAATACATAACTATTCAGTAAATGAAGTGAACTGAACAACTGATCATTCCCTGTGCAGTTTAATAGCAGCCGATGGAAGATAGAGCACCAGTACCCCCTCCTACCTGTTGCTGGAAAATTGCAATAGAGATGTTTGTGACCTTACACAGTCTTTGGTGGCAAAATGGCATGAAACTTGGCCCATACTGGAGAAGACTTGTCCCTGCAACCTAAGCAACCAAGTTTCAGTGGCTCTTTCTCTCTTTAGTGGCAGCTGAGCACTTGGAAGCCAGTGGTCTTATCTGGTGCCTCTAATGCCATAATGAGGATGGCCACTCTGGGAGAGGGAAGGTCTGGGGATATATGTGAGGCAATGTGACGTGATGCAAAAGACCCAGGCAGCACTCAGGTTACAGGTACAAGCTCTGATGAGTCAACTGGAGAATTGTAAGAGATGTGCTTGACTCAAGCAGGCCAGCTGGATGTCAATTCATGGTCAAGTTGCTAAAGAAACCTGAAAACAGTGGGAAATTGCAGGGCAGTGTTGCAAAGAGAGTAATACCTTCATTTCCTGACCAACTTATTTAATGTTCCAGAGTAGGGAAGTGGTTCTTCATCACATAGCTGGGATGTTGAGAAACTGTATGTATATAAATATCGGTGATATCGAAAAGAAAAATGACCGTGTAGAGAGAGAGAAGGAATGGGTTGATAGATGATAAGGAATGGGTTGATAGATTGAGTCTTGAGGAAAGGATTCGAAGCTGTTAGTTCTGCACTTGCTACAATTATATGTGGAGATCTAAGGCTCTGAAAGTTTCCAAAGAGAGAAACAGTTAATGGCTAGTTTCATCCAAGAAGGTTTTTTTTGTTTTTTTTTGGGGAAAGGATTATGAAGAAAACTGTACTTACCACCTATTGAGCTTTGGACTAGATGCTTACATGTTATCGTATTTGGTCTTTACAGTGGCGTGGCCTGAGGATGCAGGTGGTATTACCTACATTTTGTAGATTGAAAAAAATGAGACTGAGAGAGATTAAGCTCTTTGTCCAAGGTCACACAAGAATGGTTAGAGAATGGCTATTGTTAAATGGCCTCCCCAAATAAGTGGTTGATACTTTAATGTTATTGTCACAAATTTGTAAAATGATCGTGCTAATGCCCGTCTTAGCGGTAACGGTATTTTGTTGATGAAGACGAGTCTTGCAGCATTTTTTACTGCCGATTCCTAAAGAAAACAAAAAAATCAAGAAAGCCAAGGCAAAATGGAACAGAACTCTTTTGTTATTATGGCAACCATTGGTCTAGGGTGGAGGACCTGGCAGTTTAGATATTTGTCCTATGAGTTGCAAGCTGTAGGTAGAAGACTTTGGCATGTGAGTATGAAGCATTGCTCATCAATTTCTACCCACAGTGTCAGATTCTCAGTCATTGTTGGTCCTTCCCCTCCTGTTAAGCAGCTGGAGGCAGGCTGCTCACACCCTCTTTTCTGTGGGTTGTGTTTCACACGTAGTCATTTTAGTACATTATAAAACTCAACTCATATAAGGCTTCGGCTCAAAGGCTATTGAAGGAGTGGCAGAGAGGGCAGGAGGGGCTTTGTAGCTGTTGTAGATTAGGGTGCTGCGGGGTGCAGTCAGGGCCTCGGGCAGGCTGTTGACCTGCTTTGGCTGTGGTGCTCTTGTAGTAAGTGTGGTCCTAAGGCTGTTGGTTTCTTTTCTAGCTGGTTCTAGTGAGCCCTACGTCAGAGCAGTATGACAGCCTACTTCGGCAGATGTGGGAGAGGATGGACGAGGGATGCGGAGAGACCATATATGTCATTGGGCAGGGATCAGGTGAGCATAGTTTTCCTTTCACTTTATTTTTTAAAAAATATTTAGAGCACATTTCCCATCTTTTACCCATTTTTTTTGTTGTTCAGTGTCTGCAGAACTGTTTGGGAGGATATAAAAGTATAATGTGATCATGTTCATCCCCACCTTTCTGGTCATAATATGCTTGACTTGAAAGATTCACTTTCCAAGCGGTTTTACAGATGCCTCTTTTCTACCTCCATTTGCATGAAGGGGAATGAAGCACAAAGCCAGGAAACTTCTTGTCCCAGGTGTAGAGCAAGCCACAGGCCTAGGATTCAGCCTTCCCTGGGCAGCTCTAGTCTTCCCCTCCAACCCAGTTTACAGATCCCATTGCTACTTACTGTCTGCTTAGCAGAGAACTTATGTGGTCCTTCTTGATATCAGCAAGGAGGAGACACCCGGAATTCTTCTCTTCAGCAAGGCTGTCTTGCCCCAGACCACACTGACCACTCAGTCTTGCACACTGACCACTCAGTGTGGGTAGTTGTGCTAACAAGCCCTCTCTTCTCCCCCATGAGATCCCATCAGACATATAGACGTGGTAGCATTCTGGAAGGAACTGGTTATTGTACTCCGGCCTGCTTAGTCCGTTGTAATGGGGCTGTTTTGGAGGAAGGCAGCTTCCATAACAGAATCCCACATTATGTCTTGGGTATTTCCCCCCGAGTCATTCCTCCTCTATCCTTTCAATACAAGGCCTACTTACTTTATCTTCATTATGCTGAAATGACAGCTGGGCTTGATAATGATTATGAATTTAGCCTGAACCAGAACTGGTCTGTCATCTTTGCAGGAAGCCTCAGGAGGGCTTGGTGCATCATTAAAGGAACAGCTCTCTTTGTGAATGTAGGCTTTGTAAAGGCAGATAATAATTCCTTTGTTGACTGAGTTTAAGATGGAGAAGATCTCAATATCATTCTTTATTTGGCTAATACCTATTAAGTATCTTCTAAGGACTTGATACTGTTGCAAAGTAGTTTTGGATACTAAAATCTGGTCTCTGTCCCAGGGAGGAAAGATAGCATATATACAAATGACCTCAGTAGAGAATAGTATTTGGAAATGGTCAAAAGTGACACAAAGAAGAAGGGCTCGATCTCCAGTTACTGCTGTGCCTTCCTTTGAAATGTGTTTCTTATCTATCCTTCCCTTTCCATCTTTGCTGCCACCGCTTGGTTTTGGTCTTATCACCCTTTGCATGTCAGGAAAGGGAGTTGGTTAGCATTGTCAAGTGCTAGAGAGACAGCAAGGAGAGTTGGGTTCAGAAAAGGCCATTCATTTGGTGACTAGGGGGTCATTGCTAGCTTTTTGAAACCTTTGTGGCAGGTACACACTAGGCCTGCTGTGATAGGATGAACCATCAGAGACCACTTCCTGCTTGTGGAACTGAAGAAACCACATCTAGAGCAGTTTTGACAAGTGATGGGAATGTTCTTTGAAGACCCAGATCCCTAACACACCTTCCTCTGCCCCCAGTTCTTTAATGTGGACTCTTAGTGAATTTTCCCGTACCCTGGCGGCTGACAACTAATTAACCCGTTCATGGCAAAGCATATGATGTCAAACATTCATTAACACATTACACACCCAGGCATTATCTTTGCATCTATCAACTGGATGTTATTAGATTCACAGTGACTCCTTCCTGCTGGAATTATTTAGAGGTCGTAACTAGTTAAACAAGCTGAACATCAAACAGAGGACTAAACCCGATGCAAGGCCCCAGGGGCCGGCTTCAGCACCTGCTTCCTGTGTGTGCCTGGCGCCACACCTCTGTTTATCACATCCTTTGCCTGTAGAATGAGGATAATGACATCCTTCCCCACCCTCCCTCTGAGACATTCTGTATGAATAAACTGGCATTAAACATTCTAAGCAACACAGAGGAATGTGCTCTGTAAGTACACATTCGTACTCTAAGATGGATCTTACAAAAGGGGCGATCTGGCCCAGGAGTTAGTTCAGGGTCTGGAGTCTGGCAGGTCTGAATTTGCCTCCTGGCTCTAAGTTATCTTAAAAGGGGGAGAGTAGTAGTGTCATGGTGAAGGTTAACACTTGGCACATAGTGAGCATTATATAAACGTTAGCTACTATTAATAGTTGCAGTAATAATTTTTTTAAGGGTTCCAGGTATAGTTGATTTGCCATGAGGTTGCTGTCAAAAAGAATCTTGTTAATTTTTTAAAATATATATTTCATTGATTTTTACAGAGAGGAAGGCAGAGGGATAGAAGAGTTAGAAACATCAGTGGGAGAGAAACATCGATCAGCTGCCTCCTGCACAACCCCTACTGGGGATTGAGCACACAACCAAAGTACATGCCCTTGACCGAAATCGAACCCGGGACCCTTTATTCCGCAGGCCGATGCTCTATCCACAGAGACAAACCGGTGAGGGCAGAATCTTGTTAATTTGTCAGATATTAAGTTACAACTTTCTAAGAGCCAGGTTCTGTATTAAAAGTCCAGGGAACAAAGGAGGAGGAGTATGGAGTCTTTGTGGAGAGTCAGGAAAAGCTTCAAAGAGGATGTGACCCTTGAGTGGGTTCTGAAGGATGAGCAGGAGTTTTCTGGGCGAATGAAGGCAGTGTGAGTGTGCAGAGGCAGCCGCAGGCAAGAGGCAGCGGCCATGGAGGAGCATGTGGTGGGCCACGGTGGGCCAGTAAAGCAGGAGTGTAGTGTGTGAGGCTGGGAGTGCCGGTCAGGAGGGTCCTTGAGTGCCATACCAGAGAGTTTAGGCTTTTATCCTGAAAGTTCGGAGAACCTTGCCTCACGTTGAGCAGGAGAGTGTGTGTAGAAAGGGTAAGTCAGATGGCAGGACTGAAGTCGCACTGAGGGCCGGGTGTGGGTGAATGTGGCCTTTAGTAACTGGACCGCTGCGGCTTTTCTCCTTGGCCTTTGTCTCCGCTTCTGCCGCGTGAGGACTGCAGTGCATGCGGAGGAGGGGACTGTGACGGGGCATTTGGCCACCTGGATGGACGAGGTGGTATTGGTCATTGCCCCCAGCTGTGGAACAGGACCTGAAAACATGGCTTTTCGTTGGGTCAGAATCAAGAAACAGTGGCTAGAATTTGGGGATCTGGCAAGAATGGCAGGATTAGCAGGCTTTCTCCAAGGAACACTTCCAGCAAGTTCTCTGACCCAGAGCTCAGTTGGCCCAGTGTTTAGAAACTCCTCAGCCCAACTGCTCCTTCTTTGTGCACTTGGTTCGCATTTTGCAAGCACTGAGAACTTCATGTAGGAAACGCATCCCACCGGGGGATCCCGGGAATGTTTGCGTTTGACTTCTTTCCTGGAGATGCTAATGGATAGTGAGGGAAGACGTGCATCCAAAACACTGTTCCACAAGGCGTAGTGTGTGCAAGTGCCCTCAGTGAGCAGGGTAGGTAGAGATGTGCTCGTGGCTTTTGTAGGAGAGGAAATACATAAGCAAAGGTGTGGAGCTGGAGAAGTACAGGGAACATGGGAGGGGTGGTGACTGGGTTGCTTGCACTGGGACAGAACTGAGGGGGTGGGGGGGGTGGAATCAGTGGGGAGGCATCTAAGGAATTGAAACTGAACCTGCTGGGCCTGGGAAGCCATTCCCAGGCTTTGGCGAGGGCGTGACAACATTAGAGCTTCTTTGTCTAGGAGCACGGACTTGTGTCCACGCAGGATGGGCTGGAGGAACAGAGATGGATTTGCTAAGACCAGTTAGGGGTCTGTTGTGGTGACTGAGGTAGAATCAGGGCCTGAATCAGACTTGTGGCAGCGGGTTGGCCAAAAGAGTAGAGCAGGGACAAAGCAAGAAGGGCAGGTAGGAAGCTAGAATCAGCGGGACCGGAGTGATGAGTATTCCCCTGGGGTGACTGGGAGAATGGTGCTGTCTTCAGAAATAGGGAAGGCAAGAGGAGGAACTGGTCTGGCATAAGAGGAACCCCGGCCAGAGGAAAAGGCTCTGGGTTTGGAATCAGAAGACCTAAGCTCACAGCCCCTCGGCGCTTGGCCAGCTCTGAGTCCTCTCTGGGTTCTGTTTACCTCAGAGGGTTGCAGTGAGGACTAATGTGACTTATTAATGGTGTTAGTTTTTGTGCTGTTGTTTAAAGGGAGGGGCTTGGGTTGTTGAGTTTAGACATCAGGCTTCTAAGAGTCATCCAGGCAACTGGGAATTCATTCTAGAGTCTTGGGAAGAAGACAGTGCTAGAAATGAAAGGGGTTATTTATTTATTTTGTAGGTTTTTAAATGACAGTTGAAGCCACAGTATGAGATAGTCAAGGGGAATGCTCAGAGGATAGAGAAGAGGGCCCCTGACTGGCTACTGGAAAAGCCTGGCGTTTAAGGACAGGAGCAGGAAGAGCCACAGCACAGACAGAGAAAGGAGCCAGAGAGCAGGAGGGGAATCAGGAGAGTTCATGCGCTCGGCACGCAGGGTGGAGGGAGGCGAGCAGTGGCAAATACTGTTGTGGTCGAGAAAGGGGCATCGGATGAGGGGTTAGAAAGCCATTGATGACTTGACAACTATATAGTTTTTTTCTAGCGTTAAAAGATTCCGGGTAGGATGGTGATAGTCAGCAAGTCTCAGTTACTCTTTTGAGCTGCTCGGTGGTAAAGGAGGAACAGAGGAGATGGTAGACCATCAGGGGAAGTGAGGATGGGTTTCCTTTTCCTAATTGAGGAATGCCTGAGCTTGTCCGTACAGGGAGAAGGAGGAGGAAAAGGAAGAGAGGGTGCGAGAAGGTGCTTCAAGGTGTTTGGGAGGCAGTAGAAGAGATTAGGCCCCTGCTGGCGGATTAGCCTAGGGCAGGTGCAGGGGTGTCTCAGAGACAGAGGCTGGAGGAGAAGCTGAAGGAGCTATTGTGGAAGTTATGACATCGAGTGGAAAGCACTGATGGGAATTGTCATCAATAGACTCTCAATAAATGATTGGTTAATTGGTTCCTCCCTTCCTCATCCTGAGCTCAGACTCATGTTTCCATCTACTTGCTGGACATTTCACTGGAACTACCTCAGTCAAAATTCTATTTCTAAAATCATCCTTAACTCTCCCCATTTCCCTTTGTCTCCCGTCCTCATTATCGCTTGCCGGATTATGAGAACGACTTCCTAACGGGGCTCCCCTCTCTGGTCTCTCACTTGTCGGTGTACACTTTTTACCGCTGCCCAAGAGATCCTTCTAACCCGCAGCGATCGGGTCATGTTACTCCCTTGCCTAAACCCCCAAGGCTTCCCACTGCCTGGTGCATCATGTGTTTTGCTGCTAATGTCTGTCTGCTTAACCGCTTCCACCTCTTGTGTGGTCTCCTGCCACTTGCCATCCTGCTCCCCAGCACACCGAGCTGCTCCTGGTCCCTGAATGTGCTGTGATCTGCAATGCTCCATGCTTAGCCTCTCTGCCTGGGACACCTTTCCTCCTTTCTCTGCAGCACCCTGCAAAGCTGCCCTCCGCTTCCCCAGGCAGTGCTAGTTGCTCAAACTTTACATTCTCTTTGTACAGTTCTGTAGTATAATATTCAAGCTGTATTGCCATTAATTAATTTCCTGTCTCTCCCACTGGGCTGTGAGCTCGCTAAGGGCACCTGTATTCCCAGGACTCAGCATGAGGCATAAAACCCAGGAGAGTCTCAGTGATTACTGTTGAATGAATTAATGAGTGTCTTGCTTAATGGGGAGGCCTGTGGCACTATTATTTATGAACTCCGCATGTGCCCAAGGTTTTTAAAAGTGTCAAATAGAGAGAGCCATGTTCTCTGGTGCCTAGGGTGGGGCCTTGGTTAGGGCTAGACTGTCTGGCTTGTTGGAACACTGATGGCTGGGCTCTTGTCACCAGATGGGACTGAGTACGGGCTGAGCGAAGCGGACATGGAGGCCTCCTACGCCACAGTGAAAAGCATGGCAGAGCAGATAGAGGCCGACGTCATCCTCCTGCGGGAACGGCAGGAAGCGGGGGGCCGCGTGCGTGATTACCTGGTCCGGAAGCGAGTAGGAGACAATGACTTCCTGGAGGTCAGGTGAGGAGGCCTCAGGAGTCCCTGCAACATGAGTCGTGATTGAGCCCCTGACACCTAGCATGTCAGCTTCACCCCTTCCCTTTGAGTCATGGAAAGAGTGTCCAGAGACACCATAGCACCTTTCTCTATTCCTGCACTTCCCCATCCCTAACCATTTCCACTTGGGAAGAGTGGGAGCGAGGCCAGCCATTCGTTCTGTGGGCTCCATTGTCTTTCTTATCGGCCCATGAGTCTAGAAACCCGGGTGATGGAGGAGGCCTTTTGTGCCTGTCTTGGTCTGGGGCCCCTCTCCAGCAGCTTTGGGGAAGCGAGTGGGAGTTAAGGGAGAAAGCCACTGTGGTGGGAGCCCAGCTCCTCCTGCATAACCCTGCCTGCGCCCTGGAGAATACCTCCAGGCACGTTCCCACAGTGCTTATCCAGGAGTGGGAGGAGCAGTGAGCTGGAGAGGCTCAGGAGCAAGCCTGTCCCTACAGACGCCGTTGGTGGGTTTCCCTTCACTCACCCACTGACTCACGTGGATGTGTGGCTTCATGTGCTCACAGGGTAGCGGTAGTGGGCAACGTGGATGCTGGCAAAAGCACGCTTCTGGGGGTCCTGACACACGGGGAGCTGGACAATGGCCGAGGCTTTGCCCGCCAGAAACTCTTCCGCCACAAACATGAGATCGAATCTGGTCGCACCAGCAGTGTGGGCAACGACATTCTGGGCTTTGACAGCGAAGGCAATGTGGTGAACAAGCCAGACAGCCACGGGGGCAGCCTGGAGTGGACGAAGATTTGTGAGAAATCCACTAAAGTGATCACCTTCATTGACTTGGCTGGCCACGAGAAATACCTGAAGACCACGGTCTTCGGCATGACGGGCCACCTGCCTGACTTCTGCATGCTCATGGTAAGTGCGGCGCCCCCGGGCAGGCTTCAGCGGACGTGGAGGGTGTGGTGGTGTGCACGGGTTCGAAATTGTTCTGAGGCTGAAGCTGTTGGTTTGGGGCTTTGACACTGGGTAAGGATGACAATTTTGCCAGGGTCCCCTGAGCTCTACAGCCATCTCAAGGGTGTAACTTGATTTCCTAGGTGAGGCTCGGAAGGGATCCCCTAAGGAAAAGCCAGGGTATTTGCAGACCTCTCATTTTTTTGGAGAGACACAGAGGAGGGTTTCCCTGGGGGTTACTTACTGCCTTTAGAAATGTTTTCTTCCGGGGTTGGGCTACTTTGAGGAGGTGGCACCAGGGGGAACCCTCAGAGCGGGGGGCCCGGGGGAAGGAATGGAGGAGAGCACAGACAGCAGTCAAGAAGCGCCTGAGAGGGGGCCTCTTCCGGAGCCTGGAATGAGTGTCCATGTTGAGAGGATACTGCGTGCCTGACACCGTGCCGGGCCTGGGGAGGCAGCAGCGAGCAGGGCCGGCCTGGGCTCCGGAGAGCTTACAGCCCGGTAGGAACGGATTTTTGAGCAGCTCATTTATGTAGAGGAACTGAAAAGGAAAGAGAGCAGAGGCCTGTGCTGGATCATGTTGCTAAGCTTGTATTTGGGTCCCTTTGATCTTCCTCCCTGGACAGAGGGGGATCTGTGAGGCCCACAACCTTGGTGGCAGCTTCACAGCTTTCTCAGACAGAACCAGCAAGCACGTTTTCCTTCTGCAAGTCCTCGAGGCCCTGCCCCATGCCCCCGTCCCTCCAGCTGCTTGCATTAATAAGTGTCGTAAATGCAAGCATCTGTTCAGAGCCAGCGCCATCAGGTTGTGCCACAAACACAGGTTCTCAGGCGAAGTCTCCCCAGACGAGACTAAAGGGAGGCGGCGCATCTGGATGAACACTCTGTGGGCTCTCTGCCCAGGGTTCTTGGGCTCTCAGTGTGGTTTCATTTCCTGTATCTTTGATCATTGCAAGGGGCCATTACCAGCCTGGACTGGGCTAAGGAAACATGCTCTCTAAGAAGGGGTTTCAATGGATGGTCCTTAGGGCACATGGGGGTGGTATTAAGAAAGGTATAGCCCTGGCCGGTTTGGCTCAGTGGATGGAATGTCAGCCTGCGGACTGAAGGGTCCTGGGTTCGATTCCGGTCAGGGGCACATGCCCAGGTTTCAGGCTTGATCCCCAGTGCAGGGTGTGCAGGAGGCAGCTGTTCAGTGATCCTCTCTTATCATTGATGTTTCCATCTCTCCCTCTCTCTTCCTCTCTGAAATCAATAAAAATATATTAAATAAAAAAAAGAAAGGTATAGACATCAGTCAGTTTAAAATGAACACTTTTCTAACTGAGCTACAGTGAGAAAGGCCAATTTTTGGAAACATCTTCACTCATATGAAATGTTAAATATTATCTGACTTTTGGGCCAGATACAAATATTAAAATTTTCTGTAGAAAATAATGAAATATTTGATGATTATTCTATGGCAATCTATTTCCAGGAGGGTGGGGGATCTTCAAAGCAATAGAGCTCTCTCTTTTCCAGGTTGGGAAGAACTAAAGCAAGTCTGGGTTGGATAGGAAAGGTTGGAGGGAATGGGAAAAATTAGGAGGGAAGATGGGGCGGTGTCTTGTAGGTGAAAGCACAGGTATGGGACATCTGTGTCATTGGTAGTTGGCTCATCTGTGAACTCTGATGATCAAATCTCATGACAATTTTAATTTAATTTTGTTTTAGTAACACATTTATGTGATACAAAAATAAAAAGGTACCAAAAGGCTTAGAGTGAAAAGTCTCCCTTCCTCACTCTGTGCAGTTTCCACCCAGAGGCAAGTAGTATTTCCAGTTTCTCATGTATCCAGAGATATTTGTAATCATACCAGCAAAAGTGTGTATATTCTCTTCCTCCAATTTCAAACATTCAGAAAAGTTGAAAGAATAGTCTAATGAATACTGTAAACTTGCCACTCAGGTTCAACAATCGACATTTTGCTATACTTGTTTGTACATGGATGGATGTGTGGGTTTTTTGTTTTGTTTTTTGCCTGAAGCATTTGAAAGTCGATTATAGACATTTCGACTCTTCACCCTCAAGTACTTCAGCACACAGCTCCTAAAAGTAAGAACTGGCTCCTACTGTTCCTGCAGCCAAGAAGGTGAAGGAAGGCTCCCTAAATCATCCAGTATCTAGTCCAGAAGTATTGATATTTCTCAGATATTCCCCAATGTCATACATCTGCTTTTTTCAGCAGTAACCAGTCACCATCTTTTAATGGCGGTGTGGTATATACACCTTGCTTTTTCCCTTAAAAACATATCTTAGAGATTATCCCACATCAGTAGATAAGTTTCCTCTTTTTTGGCACATGTGCCCTAATTCATTTAACCAGCGTCTGTGGTGATATTTAAAAACCTTTATTATTATGGGAAGGAATAGTAACAGTAATAACAGCATCCATTGCTTGAGCACCTACTCATGCTAGTTGCGTGCTGGACCCCTGACATGTTATGACATTTAAACTTCAAGTGACCTTCTAAAGTGGGTATTACCCCCCCCCCCAATTTATAGATGGGGACACTGAGAGCCAGGGTTGTTAAACTGAATTCACTTTGATGACCCTAGACCAGTGATGGCGAACCTATGACACGTGTCAGAGGTGACACGCGAACTCATTTTTTTGGTTGATTTTTCTTTGTTAAATGGCATTTAAATATATAAAATAAATATCAAAAATATAAATCTTTGTTTTACTGTGGTTGCAAATATCAAAAAATTTCTATATGTGACACGGCACCAGAGTTAAGTTAGGGTTTTTCAAAATGCTGACACGCCGAGCTCAAAAGGTTCGCCATCACTGCCCTAGACAGTTGTTTTCCCAGACTGTCTGGGCTTGTCTTTTTTTTTTTTTAAATAAAGCTTTATTGTTGAAAGTATTACATATGTCCACTCCCCCCTCACCCCCCATTGATCTCCTCCAGCCTGCCCCTGCCCCCATGCCAGGCCTTCAACACCTTATTATCTGTGTCCATGGGTTATGCGTATATGCATATCAGGTCTTTGGTTGATTATCTCCCTCCCACCCACCCTCCCTCACCTTCACTCCGAGATTCCGTACTCTGTGGACTTGTCTTTTATTGTTTCCAAGTCTCCTCGGATTTTGATAGCCCACAGTGTTGAATTGGGTTAAAGCAATCTGTGCCCAGCCCAGCTTTCATCTGTAGCCGTTTAGTTCCTGGCCTGAGACTTGTGCCCCTGTGTCCAATTCTGATGGCGGCCTCAGAGGTGGGAGCGCTCTCCCGTCAGCAGTCGTTAGTCTCTGTGCCACCAGCAGCAACCTCTGTCTCCCTTGCCCTGATAGTTCTTTCTGTGTTGGGGCAGGTGGGCAGCAATGCTGGCATCGTGGGGATGACCAAGGAGCACCTGGGCTTGGCATTGGCACTCAATGTGCCTGTTTTTGTGGTGGTCACCAAGATTGATATGTGTCCTGCTAACATCTTGCAAGGTAAGTGAAGCCTCCAGCTAGCAGCAGTCTCTCTGTTTGGGGCTGCCACCCCCTGGGCTCCTTGGTGGTCTGCTGCCAGGGCTTCAGCCCAGAGCCTTCAGCGTCCTTATCTGGTGCTCAGACCTCGCCTGAGTTTCCCATCAGCCCAGAACCTTCTGCCTTCTCCCTGTTCAGCTCTTGGTCTGAGCATAGCCTAGAATTACCCCCTGCACTGTGTTCTTTCTGGTTCCAAATGCAAGATTCTTGAGGCCTCTAGTCTTGTACCTCTTTTCAGATGGCCTCAGACAGAAGGGGTTGGGTTTTACCATGTAAGCTGGATATATGTGGCAACATTGGGGCAGAGGGTCTGGTAATGTTTTTTGTTTGTTTGTTTTTTTAAATATGTTTTCATTGATTTCTTTTACAAAGAGAGGAAGGGAGAGGGATAGAGAGATAGAAACATCAATGAGAGAGAAACATCAAAGATCGGCTGTTAACTGCACGCTCCCTACTGGGGATCGAGCCTGCAGCCTGGGCATGTGCCTTGACCAGGAATCAAACTGGTAACCTTTTGGTTCAGGGGTTGACGCTCAACCACTGAGCCACACCGGCCAGGCTGATAATGTTTTAGCACCAAAGGCTTCAAAACAAGAGCAGGACTAGGCCTTCATGCATTTCTCCCTCGTTGCTGCAGATGGTAGGAGAGAAATGGAGAGATGTCCTTTGGGGGGGGCCTCATGAGGAGCTCTGCAGGCGTCTGAATGTGCTAGAGATCCTTTTGTCAGATGCTTTTTCCCCCAGGAAGCAGAGCATTCTGAGAACATTGTCCCTGTGGACGCCCCCCCACCTCCCCCCCGCTTGCCTTCTCCCATCACTTGCAGGATGCGGGTCTTCTAGAGATGAAAGAAATCCGATGGTTTCAGACTCGTAACCTCAGCAGACAGGCCCCATCCGTGCTGTTTCTACTCTAGCAAACATGCATCCACCCGAAGTTTTGATCCTCTTTTTGCTTCTCCAGGCATTGTGGCATTTAACATTCTCTGTCTCCTGCTTGCAGCAGTGATGAGTGGACCTGTCTTGCCCTAAGAGCCTGGCCAAAGAGAAGCCTGTGTCTCCTAATTCTGTTCATTTCACCCTTTAAGAAACCCTGAAGCTGTTACAGCGCCTGCTGAAGTCGCCGGGCTGCCGGAAGATCCCTGTGCTGGTGCAGAGCAAGGATGATGTGATCGTTACCGCCTCCAACTTCAGCTCCGAGAGGTAACAGGGTAGGGAGCACTCACTTCCGGGCGGGCACAGACAGGGTGAAGTGGACTCGTGCTCTCAGCACAAGGTCTCCCAGGCTGGCAGATGCCTCAGATTCTGAGGAGCTGGCCTCACTGAGGTTGGAATCCCACTGAGACCTCAGTGTCCTTGCCTGTGAAATGGGAATGATGTTCCCTTCTCCATAGGGCTCTCGTAGGGTTGGAAACTGCCTGGCCCCTGTGTAATAGAAAGCTGCCATTTTTATAACTGATTCTATACTTTTATACTGTTGTTCCTCAAAAGCTCTCGAATCACAAATCACTTTAGGCCTTTACTCATTAACATATCCTGTGATTCTGTAAATATACTTGGATGTCTGTTGTGTGCCAGGCTCTTCATCTCAGCATTGAGGTTTCAGAGTTGACTCAGGCACTAGCCTTGTCTTCAAGGTGGTCAGCTCCTTGGTCAGAGATGCTCTTTGAACTTTGTTAACTCTGTTCCTTCTCCCAGAGTCTTGGGGCTGCTTAGAGCCACCTGTCTTCTGGCTTGGTCTGTAGTCCAGGACCCTGGCATTTGGCCTGTTCTGCCCTGACAGTGTCTTCAGTACCACCATTTGACCAGCAGAGGGGGTACATTTCAGCTGCCCCCATTTTATCTTATTTAAAATTATTTTCTTATTGTGTGTGTGTGTGTGTGTGTGTGTGTGTGTGTGTTTAGAGAGAGATAGTAAGGGAGAGGGAGAGAGAGAAACATTGATGTGAGAGTGAAACATCAGCTGCCTCGTGCACATCCCCTAGCCGGGATCAAGCCCGCAACCTGGGTATGTGCCCTGACCGGAAATCGAACCAACAACCTTTGGGGCACAGGATGACGCCCAAGCAACTGAGCCACACCAGCCCGGGCAGCTGCCCCCATTTTAATTCACTGAGTTTTTCTGGTGCCTGTCTGTGCAGGTACTATTCTAGGAGCCGTGGGGATACATAATTCCTGATCTCCAGGAGTTTGATTAACCCTGGATGGAGATACAGAGGCCTTTGAGATAGATGACGGCAAGTCAGACATAGTTACATGTAACAGAGGCACAAAAAGTTCAAGAGCTGAGAGGAGTGAATGCCCATCTGGGAAGGGTTTCCTGGAAGAAGCAGCACGGAGGCGTGCCCTGAAGGATGAGAGGATTTGGTAGTTGGATAAGAGGGAAACAGTTCAGGCAGGAGGATCAGAGTGGACAAATACAGGGGAGCATAAAGAACCAGGCTTTTAGAAGAAAGTAAGTCCTCTGGTCTGGCTGGAATATAGGGATTTGAGAGAAATATACCTGCAGGATGTTGGGAGGAGGGACGCAGGCTGTGTTCTCCATAATGGGAAGGGGATTGAGGACATTAAGCAAGCATGCGTGCACTTTAGGAAGAAGCAGTTACGAGTGCCTGAAATGGGGCAGTGGTAGAGCGACACAGAGGAGGGGGCAGATGTTAGAGACAAAACTGAGTAAGAGGAGAAGTCCTTAGAGTCGGGCCAGAGGGGAAGAGCCCTGGGAGGTGGATGCGGGGCAGTGGGGCCCTCCCAGGAGCCCTCCTGCTCCTCCCATCCTGTCGGCCAGGCTGGCCTCCTGAGCTCCTGTCTTTCTTTTTATTCACCCTCCGCGTAGGATGTGCCCGATATTCCAGATCTCCAACGTTACAGGCGAGAACCTAGATCTGCTGAAGATGTTCCTCAACCTCCTCTCCCCCCGCACCAGCTACCGGGAGGAGGAGCCGGCGGAGTTTCAGATTGACGACACTTACTCTGTGCCGGTGCGTGGCTGCCGGACGAGCAGGGCGGAGGCTGGGCGGGCACCTCCCACGGGGGGTTGGGTGGAGTGTGTGGGGGAAAGGGGCTGAGTGGGGAGAGACTTACTAGGCCAGGGTCTTCTCTGCAGGGTGTGGGGACGGTGGTGTCAGGGACAACACTCAGGGGCCTGATCAAGCTGAATGACACGCTGCTGCTGGGCCCGGATCCTCTGGGGAACTTCCTGTCCATCGCTGTGAAGTCCATCCACCGCAAGCGCATGCCTGTCAAGGAGGTGCGGGGGGGCCAGACAGCCTCCTTTGCGCTGAAGAAGGTGAGTGTCGATAATACCCTAACTCCCCTAAGAGTCCGCGTTTTACTAGGCTCGGGGCTGTCTCCATCCTCATGGCTGCTCTGCAAGCCAGGGCTTACTGACCTCACCTACAGAGGAGGAAACGGAGCTGAGCCCGCCTGAGTGCCATGCCCAGGAGTGCACAGGTGGCACGTGCTAGAGCTGGGACTTGAGCCAGGCCTGCCTGCCTCCTGAGCTTGTTCTTCCCTCCAGTCCTGAGCAGGGTGTGCTGAGCTCAGTGGTGAGGTCAGACAGGCATCTCCTGCTGTGTTGAGGGCCACTGGGGTCCATGCCAACTCCTCTTCCCATTCCACCTCCTTCCCCAGGAAGGGGGTGAGTGCCAGCTCTAGGATCACCTACCTTCTCCGCCAACCAAGTTAGCCAGCAAGATGAGGCTGTCTCTATCCCCCCAACAGTCATGTCATACTCGCCTGTTCCTCCCACCATTGCTTCCTGCCTTCGCCCTCATCACCCACTTAGCTCTTACCCATCCTTGACGGCCCAGCTGAAATGCCGCTCCTGCATGACCCTGAGTAGCAGTGTTTCGCTTCCCCAGAGCGCTAAGATCTGCCCGGAAGGCTTATGGTCCGGTGCAGTGAGGGCAGGGCTGAGTGGGGTGGTCCTCATTCCCAGAAGGTCGGCTGGTCCTTGGGAACCAGGGGCTGCAGCCCGAAGGCACATTGTGCCTGAGTCTGGGCTTCCTCTTTCTTTCAGATTAAGCGCTCATCCATCCGGAAGGGCATGGTGATGGTTTCCCCGCGTTTGAATCCCCAAGCATCCTGGGAATTTGAGGCCGAGATCCTCGTCCTCCACCACCCCACCACGATTAGCCCACGCTACCAGGCCATGGGTAGGTGTCTAACGGGGCTGCCAGCCAGGAGCCCCCCACTCTAGCTCTCTACAAAGTGCTCCAGTGACCCGAACCCACAAGTTTCAGCTCCATCCAAGAGGTCTCCTTCCTGCTTAGTGATGCTCCCTTTTCCGCCCACGAGCCGTAGCGTTTATCAATCCTGCAAACAAACCGAGTGCCGGCTGTGTGCCTACTCAGTGTCTGCTGAATGACACGCTGAAACCAGGTGTTGCCAGGTGCAGGGGACAAAGGCCAGGTAGGCAAGGGCCCTTCCCTTGGGAAGGCAGCAGGCTAGAGAGACACATGCAAACATAGTGCCCTGAATTCAGGAATAAGGACCATGGTCCCAGGTGGGGTCTAACGGGAGGAAAAGGTAGGTGAGTTCGAGGCACGATCAGATCTCAGTGCAGCCTCGGTTCACTCGGCTCCCCTAGGCCTCCCCAGGCTTAGCCTGCGCAGCTCAAGCATATTTCATGCTTTCACTCTGCCTCCCCTGCCCTGAGGCTCATGGTGGCGCAAGGCGTCTGACCTGGCTCCCTTGGCAGTGCACTGTGGGAGCATCAGGCAGACGGCCACCATTCTGAGCATGGACAAGGACTGTCTACGCACTGGGGACAAGGCCACGGTGCACTTCCGCTTTATCAAGACCCCCGAGTACCTGCACATAGACCAGCGGCTGGTGTTCCGGGAAGGCCGCACCAAGGCCGTGGGCACCATCACCAAGGTATGGCCGGACAGATCTCCCCTGCCCCCAGCAGACACCAGGGGTCACTGGCCCGCAAGCACAGCAGGTGCTTCTGGAGAGGCCTTGCGGGATCTCCTGACCGGCTGGGCCAAGGCCAGTCCCTGCCTCGGGAGAGCTGGACCAGGGCATTCCTCCTGGGTGATAGCCACACGTCCGATGTTTCCGGCTGCCGGGATAGTCACTGCTGGGGCCTGAAGTTAAACCTGCCCAGACTCTGGTTCCGGGGCCGCAGGTCCTGGGGCTGGGGATGCAGTGGATGTTCTGAGGAGTCTTAGCCTGTCTGGGAGCCTGGAGTTCAGCTCACCAGGCTCAGGCAGGCAGGGCCCCGTCTGGGAGCTGGGCTGAGTGGGAGGGGCCGAGGATCCCTGGCTGCGGGAAGAACAGCCAGAGCAGGGACAGGATGGAGCTCTGGATGGGGAGAGAACACCTGGGCCCCCCCCAGGACCAGCCAGGCTGGGAGTGAGCAGTCCCTGAGGGCGGGGGAGCCGGCCGCTCAGCTGATGGCACTGCCTGCCGCTCCAGCCTCATCCTCACCCCTTGGCCCTGCAGCTCCTCCAGACCACCAACAACTCCCCAATGAACTCCAAGCCTCAGCAGATTAAAATGCAGTCAACGAAAAAAGGCCCCCTGACCAAACGAGAAGATGGGGGTCCCCCTGGAGGGCCGGCCGTAGGGGTGCCTCCCCCTGGAGACGAAGCGGGCTCTCTGGGGGCTGCACAGTCAGCTGCGTCCAGCAGTCTCCAGCCAATGGTGAGCATGCCTCGCAGCCGTCCTGGACCCCTGACCACCTCGGGCGGGTGCAGGCAGGGCGATGGGGTGTGGCGGTCACAGAGTCAGTGGGGGTGACGTGTGAGAGCCCCGGCAGCCTCTGCCTGCTGCCACATCTGTGCACAGACAGGTGTCCACAGCCCCAGGTGCAGGTGCTTTCTGAGCATGTACTGTTGCCTCTGAAGGTGCTGTTTTTCAAACTTGGAGGTGCGGCCTACATAGAAGCAGTTTAATTGGTCCTGATGAGCATTTCAGAGTTTCCCACATTTCAGAGTTTCCCGTTCCTAGTAAGAGTAAATAGCATTTGTGTGTGTGGGTGAGTGTGCCGAGGTCCAAAAGGTTTGAAAATCTGCCTTAGAGGCTCTCCTGTGCCCCCTCCCCCTACATGACCCCTCCTGAGGGGCCGGTGGCCTTGGCCCTGTGTCACTGTGGCTGTCACTCAGCACCCCTGCCAGCTCTGTCCCGGGTTCCTCCCTCTCAGAGCCTTTCTCCAGCCAACCCGCCTCTGGAGAAGGAAGCTCGTGCTGCACCTGTTCTTTCTGTTCTCCCCATTGCTTTCCTCTGGCTCCGCCATTCCCTTTCCCTTCCCACCATCAGTGGTGGCAGGGGGTTGGTTCCTACTTTCTTTGTGCTCCTCCTAGCTCATACCCTTGCCATGTGACCCACCTGCCCTGCAGGCAGGCGGAGCAGGCCCTTGCTCCATCTGACCAGCAGAGCCATGCTCAGGCGAGGCTGGGACCACACTGCCTGCCCTTCATCTGCGCCCCACCCTGCTCCCCTCCCACCCAGCTCCCAGTGGCCCGCTGCTTCTCAAGCTCCTCCTTTCTCTTTCAGCTCAAGCCCAGCAGTGGGGGCCGGCGACGAGGGGGCCAGCGCCACAAGGTGAAGAACCAGGGGGCCTGCATGACTCCTGCCACTGGCTGCTGAATTTCTCCTTCCCACCCAAGGATTCTCGTGCTCTGGCCACGCTCCATCCGATGGGCCAGAGCAGCCACCACCCTCCCCAGGCCACAGCCAGAGCCTCATCATTCCCCAGCCCTGGTTCCCGGGGCTCTAATTTATAGCCGAGGACGACGGCAGACTTCCGGAGCACTACCATCTCCCGCCCGCTTGCCCGCCTTCTTCCTCACTCAGTTTTTGTCCATCTGGGCCCTTAGTTTTTATTTTCTCTCTCTCGTGTGTGTGCGTGCGTGCGTGCGTGTGTGGGTGTGTGCATGGCCACTCAGGGCCCTGGCAGTCTTTCTTCTCTTCCTTTCCTCCTCCATGGCTGGCCCCGGCCTCCAGGAGCTGTCCGTCGTGTGTGTCTGTGAGAACCTTTAGGGGCTGTCCGGAACTGAAGGGCCTCCCTCCCAGTGCTGCTCTGTGCCCGGAGCCCTCTCTGGAGCTGGCCTCGGGGCGGGGGCTGCAGGTATACGTGCTGCTGCTCCGTCTCAGGAGCCTCCTCCTGGGACTTGGGGCTTCTGGCAGGGTTGACAGTACTGGCTCCCTCTCTTCCCTCCCTCTTTCTCCTTAAACCCCCAAACAGGAATGCCAGAAGCTCTTACATTGTAACCTGTAGATGGTGGAGGGGAGCGGCGATTGGGTTGTCAGGCCCTTCCTGCTCTTCCCTCCGGCCCGTGCCACTGACCCAAAGACAGCTGGTGGCTTTCCTTCCCGGGACAAGCCTGTTTGCCTGCTGCTCAGGGCAGCTCCTGTTCTGCCATCTGCTGAGCCTCCCGGGCTGCCTCCTGCCTGGACCTTGAATCTTACTGGGTCTTGGGGCACTGATGACCTAGACAGTGTCGCCTGCTCAGGGTCATGCTCACTAGCACCTCCTTTTGGTGGGGTGCGGGGTGTTCCTCTGAGCCAGGCTGGGAGGGGAACCCCTCCTTCCCACACAACTCTGCCACATCACCCCAGCATGGCTGCTGCAGGAGCACAACAGGGATTGGCCTGAGCCCCAGGTTTGGAAGCCCCGGTTGGGATAGGGGAGGCAGATGCAGGCCCCGCGGAGCAGGAAGCCTTCTGGAAGAACCACTGCTTGGGGCGGGGGCGGGGGGGCAGAAGGCAGCGTGGGCCCTGAACCAGCCTGGCTGAGCTGTGGGGCTGAGCTGTGGACTGGAGCCCTCAGTTTAGGGCACTAACAGGCAGAGATGTGTCCTTCTGGCCGGGACAGACACCCAGCTGGCTGGGTCCTTCCTCAGCCTTGCCTTCTTCTTGTCCCCAACCCTTCTCCTGTCCTTCACTCCCCTCTCCCAGCTGTTTCTAGTTACCACTGGCCCATGGCCACGGACTGACCAGACCAGCACACAACATGAAAGCTTGTCCACGTTGATAGGTGGAGGAGCTGCCACTGAGAACACTGGTGCCCTGCCTGCCCCAGCCCCAGTCTGAGAGAGCAGGGCAGGGAGGGGGAGCCCAGATTCTGGGAGGCAGGCGTGGCCTCACCACCCACCCTCCCACCAGCTCTCACACGGGACTAGGTGCCAGCCTTCTCTGGACTTCAGTTGCCTCTTCCACAGCAAGAGGTGAATCCTCCGGGGGTCAGGATTTATTGAGGATGTACGTGAGGCCCCATGTGCCCAGCACGCTGCGTACACCCACGCTGGTCCCCAAGTCCATAGCAGAGGCCCCGAGCTGGGGGACAGGCTTGAGAGAGGTGGCATCGACATGTCCATGGTGTGACTGGGGCTGTGCCACGTGTCTCCCTCACTCATAGTCTGAGGGAGGTGGCATTGGTGCCATTGTTCTAGGTGGGGACACAAGCTCAGAGGAGCAGTGCCGCCAGCAGGCGGGGTGTTCCCACCCTGGCCCTTGGCCCAGCCATTCCCGCTCAGCTGCGTCCTTCGGCCCCTCCTGTTCCTTTGTCTCCTGGCTGTTTCCCTCTTGCTTTTTGGCTCATTCTGCTTGCAGGGCTGCTGCCCACGGAATCCTTGGTAATCAGAGGGCTCCAGTGTTGAGCGCCCTGCTCTGTCCCTCGGCGGGTGCTGTGGAACTGGTATTTCCCTGGGCGTGGCCATGGTAGACCTTGGAGCAGGCAGTGCCTGGTTTTGTTGGAACTTCAGCCCCTGTGAGCATAACCACTGGATGTTAGGAAGCCGTGGCCGCCACCTGGCCTCTGTCCTCAGATGCTCGGGAGGCTGGTTTGGATCCGTGTGGCCACCGGCCACACCTGCTAGCAGGGCAGACCGAGTGCAGCGTTTCACTGTCCTCCACGGGGACGACCGAGTTCCCTGTGGGTCTCAGCCTACCAACTCTCCATTTGGAACAAAACACCAGCCCTTTTGTAGTTGATGAAGAATAAAGTTGTTAATCTGATCATCTCAGTGGCAAGTCCTGACCCTTCTGTGTGTGGTAGGGTTGGTGGCATCTTAACTCCGTCACCACTGTTCCGCGGACTGGCCTCCGGCACAGCATAGGGCAGCAGGACTGTGACATGGGCGGGGAGTGCACGTTGGATTGGGGCCAAGGGATGTACCACAGGGAAGATGGTGTGAGTTGTGCCGTGAGGGGCCAGTAGGATTTGAACGTGTGCAGACAGGCAGAGGGTATGTGCCTGGCCCGAGGGCGAGAGCAGAGACCCCAAGCCCTGTGACTGTGGTAAGTTCCAGGGACTCGTTGGTACTGCTCAGGGCTGTCTCCTTTGTTGAAAAATGGTGCTAGTTGCAGAGCAGGTGTTGAGTGGAACCGGGAGAGAAGCGAGCAGTCGGTGGGGGACGAGCCTTGTGTAGGACTAGCTCTTTCCTGGGACCCTAAGCTGAGGGGTTCTGAACTGGCCCAGAACCTCTGGGCTGGATTTGCACTCCACCAGGCACCCTCTGTGGCACTTGACCCCCAAGCCCCTCCTACTGACCTGTTCCTGCCTTTATTTTCTCAGCTGTGATGGGGACTGGCCCTGGGCCAGGTGTCATGGTCAGACGAGGCTTATTGGAGTGTCCAGTTGGGGGACCGCCCCTGGCCCTCTGAGCAGCTCGTTAGAGACACTGACTGGGGAGTATTTAGGGGAAGGGCCAGGACCTGAGCTGGCAGCTTCTGGCTCTCAGGGCACCCACTTCCGTGTCCCACCCCAGCCCAGACTCGAGGGGCAGATGTCTAACTCCTGTGGAGGAGGACGCAGCCCTGAAGGCAGATGTGGTCACTAGTTAAGCAGGTAACTTCCTACCTTCTTCTCATGTGGCTCTAGAAGATGCTTCATATGATGTCAGGGTCCGCTAAAGCCACCCCACTTTCTCCTGCCAATCCTTGCAGTGCCTGCTCAGGCCCCACCTCCCACCACAGCTGGGTTTTAGCTGAGAGGCCTGGGTTTCTATGGCCAAGAATTCATTCTCGTTTTCCCAAAAGAAGATTCCCTGTGCAATGGCCAGATAAAAACCACGTATTCTCCCCACAAACAAACAAACACGTATTCCATTAGTCCTGGGCATAATTTATTCTTTGCATAGGTATAAATTAGAATCTGGAGATAAGAAAAGTAAGAACCCAATAGTGCAGCATTTGTGACAGAAGAGCTGGGGCAGAGGTGTGCAGGGCCAGTGCTGGAGGAGCACAGGATGGCCTGGGGCCTGGCCTTCAGCCCAGCTCCGCCCCGTGAGGCTCGGCCCTCGGGAGGGCGCCTGCCTGCATGGCAGCCCCTCTTGGCATCTGGGTTACACGGAACTGAAATCACCCAGCACCCCACAGAACGGGGCTAGGAATCAAGCCCTTAGCTTTTCAGTTAAAAAAATGACCTTGAAAAGTGTTTACATAATAACAGCAGGGCCAGCTGAGGCAAAAAACCCTGCCTCCCACCCCTGCCCTCCCCTCACCCCCACCCCCCATAGAAAAAAGCCAGAAAGGAAGCGACTGAGCAAGAGCTGGAAGAGCCCTGAGGGGGTGCTGAGGGTGAGGGCCCCTGACCCAGGGGCCGGATTGAGATGGGGCACAAGTCAGACAGTCCTCCCACCATGATACCCTGAATATCACCCTGTCATCACTGGGCCACCAGGGAGCTAGGGAGTCCCCTGCCTGCACCCTTTCAGCTGGCCCCAGACGCACAGCCTCCGAGGGCGGGTCTGGGCTCCCTGCACCTGGGGGATGTGGCAAATGTGCTAGGGACAGGCAGGCCCCATCCCCGCATCAGACGAGCAGAAACAACTAGTGTCCCCAGCAGAGGGGCCCCTCCGAGGATCCCAGGAGCAGACCTGGGGTACAAAAAGCCCCACGGCCCACCTCATGCCAGGACAAGCACAGTGTATAGAAGCCCATGGAGGACCCTGTGGGCCAAGCTCAGCCGCCCGCTCCCAGGAGCTTCCTGCCTGCAGCCCGTCCCAACCGGAACTGCGGGCACCCTCCTCCCATGGGGCCTCAATTCCCTGCCCCGAGCCCTAGCTTGTGCCCCCGTGGCTTTGGCATGTGCATCACTCACACACCACACACCTCCCAACAGAGCTTCCTGGGTGCCAGCCCCTCCGCCGTGGGCAAGGGGCGGTCAGTCAGGTCTTGCCCACGGCTGCTGGACATGTCCACACGTCACCTCTCCTGCCTCAGTCCCACATGATATGCTACATATGTACAGCCTCCCAGGAGGGGAAGCAGACGCTGGTGCCTGGCGTGAGAACGAAGGATGGAAAGATTGGAGCCAGCTGAGCCCTGGAGCTGCCGCTGCTGGGAAAGCCCGGCACATTCTATGTCCACTGGGCAAGGCTTCCTGCTCCTGGAAGTCAGTGCGCTGATCAAGCATGTGGGGAAGTGCAGGGGTGCTGCTCCCCGACGCCCGGAGAAGGGGGCGTGGCTGGCCTCCCGCTGGCTGGCAGCAGTGCAGGGGGGCCTAGTGGGCAGGCTCCCCATGCACCCTGAAGCGGTAGATGCAGGTGTACTCAGGGTGGCCCCAGTTAGTCAGGATCCGCAGCTCCACCACCTGGTATGTGGCCATTTTGGGGTCCTGGGAGGAGAAGAAAGAGGTTAAGAGTGTCGGAGCCCTCGGCCCTCAGCCCTCACTGGCAGCAGGCAGGTGGGGAGGTGCCACCCCTCGGGCCAGGCCCCCTGCCCTGGGGCCTCTGAGACCTGGACTTCACAGCTCCTGTCTTCAGACCCTGCAGAAGTGTCCAGCTGGTGGGCCAAGGGGCTCCAGAGGCCTCCCACCGGAGCCACCCACCGGGGCCACAGAAGGAAGGCCTGTGGCTGAGCACCGGCCAATTCATCCCAACCGACAACCCACAGGAGCTCTTGGTGACGGCAGCACTGCCTTCACGGAGTCTGCTGCTCTGTGTTGTTGGGAAAGAATCCCTTTTCTTTGAATGAAGCAGAATTTCTTTTCTTTCTCAAGTTGCCATCAGGCCTCTGTCTTCTATGCTCCAAAAGCCAGTTTTTGAGCCAGCTTTCGATGCCCAGCACAGTGTCTCCTGCTCTTCCTCTCCCCCTCCAGCCTCCTGTCCTCCACCCGCTCCTAAAGGCACAGTCTACACACACCCTGAGAAACCCCGGCTACTCCATGGCTTCGTTATCGCCTGGAGCTCACAGCTCAGTCTCTGTCGGGCCCGGTGACAGCTCCACGGGACCGTCTGACAGGTGCCTGCCCCCGTCTGCATTAGCCTCTTGGCTGCCCTCCCCACCTTCCCCTTCCCTATTGTGTCCGCCACCTCTCCATCCTCCGGGTGAACACCGATCGTCAACTCTGGCTTGCTTTCCTACAACCACTTCCCGACTGTCTCCCTGTCTCCAGGCTTGTCGCCCGTGGACTCACCATGTACACGGCCACAGTGATATTATACTGCACATCATACTGTCACTTCTCTGCCTAAAACAGCACTGCCCACCCCCTTCCACCCCCACCCTGAGGGCTGAGACTCTTTGGCCTGGTGTCCAGGCTCTCTTCCTGCCACTGGCCCTTCGCCTCACATCCCGACCTCACGCTAGTGTCCTCTGCTCCTCACCCTGCGGGAGGCTGCAGGTTCCTGGGCCCCAGCAGCCCCAAGGGATCAGCCTCCTGGGGGAGCTGGGGCTCTGCACTTCTGGGAAGTCTCTGTTCCACGCCTCGGGCTGCGGGAGGGCAGGCACCGTGGCTTCCTGTCTGAACCCGGGGCCTGGCACAGGGTAGTGGGCAGGGAAGTGAGTGTGCCAC